CTACTTATGTAATGTAGGAAGGAATTACACTATTTTAGCCCTTAATACATTAATAAATTTACAATGAAGAACAYAAAAACCAATGAGATGATATTTTTTCTATTATTATTTAGCTGGCARGAACATGATTAAAATTTTTTAACATTCCCCCAAAACATTCCAATATTTTATGTATTTTATGGAGCACATAACCTCATGTTGTGGTTTGGATCTGAGGTATCTCCCAGAAGGCCACATTAGGCAATGCAAGAATGTTTAGAGGACCAATTATTCGATTACTAGAGCTGTAACTCTGTCTGGGGACTCTGTCTTATCCTGCTGCCCCTTCCCTGTGTCTCTTCATACAAACTGCCATGATTTGAGYTGCTTCCCTCTGCCATGCCCTTTTACCATGATGTTTTGACTTACTTCTGGCCCAGAGAGTGTAGTCGTATCACCAGGCACTGAATCTCTGAAACTATGAGCTCAAAATAAACATTTCCAACTAGTTATCACCACRACTGGTTATTAAAAAAAAGAATTGCAATTCTCATGAAAATATTCTTCACACTTTGTTATGAATATATATTTTGTGTTCATAAATTTACATATTTCATATATGCATACATATAATATCTTGTTTTCTTTCATCTTTCATTTCCTTTTCACATAATATAAGATGTATTGATTTTATGTCATAGTTTTTAAGTAATTTTAAAGTTCATCAAGTATTTTAGTTGTGGGATRTCAAAAGGAAAACATAAACATCAGCTGATGTTTTAACTGTAATTCTTGGGAAAGATTTTTGTGATATTTTCTTTGTAGGAAGTATAGTTATATCATGGTGTATAGAATGATGCCYTTGTTATTCTTTTTATTAGGAGATATGTATGGTTTAAGAAAATTTGTATGGGTGACAAATTGACAAATTTTGTAGATGTCAGATGAATRTTTTTGTGTGAATCTTACAAAACTCCTGTGCTTCCTTCCACCCCTATTCCCACAACTAAACATTACACCAGCTGTAACTGAAACTGACTTTTCCTCCTCAAACTGTGCTTCCAGAAGCCAAAGTTTCCCAAAACATTCTCTAGCCTTCCTCCTGTTGTACGAACCGTCATGCTATYTATTTAGAGTCTGAATTGARCCTACAAGCATATGAAGGTTTAATTCATTTTCTGTCTGACATATCTCAATGTATAGTATATTTGAGTTCCTCTCTTACCTCTGTCCTCCTGGTTCTGAGGCCTTCATACTTATTGTGAAATCTATACTGTTCTCAGCTTTTGATTTTCTGAGTCCCCAGCTTCTAAACTGCACAAAACTGTAATTTCAAACTTAATAATCATGTTAGACAATACCTTAGAATAAATCATTTTCTCTCATGCTCYGAAACTCCCATGGTTCTCCTGAATAGAGAGCATGTTATGTACAAACACAGATATAGAGGATAGATACATACATACATACATATATACACACATATAACATCTGTTTTTCTAGACAGCTCTAATACATAAGGCAATGTTCACTAAATTTATTGCACTTGATTTTTTCTCTTCAATTTTGGAGGGAAAAACCATGGTGTAATTGTTAGTTATTGTCCTCATATAACTCTCACATCTAAATGCCTTCTCAAAATTATTAAACACTGTATTAGTTTTGGAAACTGGAACATGTTCTATAAAAATTTTGAGAAGGAGTACCAAACATTGACCAACAATGACAGTTAGTATTTTTGAAATTGATAAAGATAACTTTTTTTAATTTACTGAAATGTGGTCATAGAGTTTTAATTGGCTATCATTGATGTCAATCTTCATTTGAAACAAAAAAAAATTATAAATTATCTGTCAATACTTCCTCCTTGAAACAAGACATGTCCTTTTGAATCCTTCATTCCTCTATCCAAAACATGGAAGAAAATACAAAGAAAAGAGTAAAAACTTAGAATATGTATACCATGCTGATGTATTTATTTCAGAATATGTAATGTTGGAAAGTACATTTGGACAGGATTAATGCATTTTGATATTATAAAAGTATTCTTATCTGCATATTGAAAACAAGGATTCTAAGTTTGGACTCACCTCAATAACATAAATATTGCTCAATAAGACASTTTAGTGATGGAGTTAATCATTCTGGGTTTGCACAACTCTCAACRTAATTCTGTTGCACAAAATATATTTAAGACTCAAAGTTTCAAAAGGATCCCACACAAACTTTCCTAAAAATATTATAAAYAAGATTTTTGTATGCTTTCCTGTACACATATATAATAAAATTCTGAATACAATTCTGCCATAGCTGGTCCACAATCTAGATTTGGGTAAAAAGTCTATTTTGATTGATGTCTACTTGAGTTTGCTTAACTCTTAAAAATGCTCTTTTTWAACGTTATAGCATAATTTTTCAACAGTCTTCTGAACGGTAGTAGATTTTGTATGATGATGAAAAAGTACTTATATAGAAAGATGAATTCTAAATTATCTTAAACATCAAGGCAAGAAATAAATGGATCATCACAATAAAGTATTTTTACTTTTGTTTTCAGAACATACATAAAATAATTTTAATTCAACATCAACAATATTCCATTAAACTAGRTGAATTTTACTGAATGATATCATCCTTTACATTTAAATATTTATTAAGTTATATGCATGTATTTTCATAATTTAAGGCAAAAGGCCAAATATTGAATTTCTTCTCAAAAACAAGGAGTTGGAATACTGTGGATTTTAATTCATTCTCAGCTTTCCACTGAAATGGCAAAAATAGTGCACATAAATTAGAACAAATATGCAACAGAATTGAGAATGGGATCACACCCAGGGACAAGTGATTTTGGTGAATTTCTGAAGGCATGAAGTAGGGGGAATACATTTAAAAAGAGAAGGACCAGGAGACCTGACATGTACCAGAGAATACTGCAAAGAAAGCCTGACTTGGTGACAGGTCCCTAACCACTTGTCCCTTACTCACCAAACACATAAGACTTGACAGGTTACACACCCTTCCCATATATTCATTCTTTAATATGTACCTTCTCCTCAAAAGAAAAGCAAATCATAGTAATAGTTCTTACTGATAGCAGAAGAAATAGAGTTGATGATATTATCAGTTTTGTTTTTCTGGTATAACAGTGATTATACAAGCAAAAACCTAGGGAATTCATAGAAAACCATAAATGAGAATATTATGCAGTATTAAAAAATAAACAAACGAGGGGCTGGAGTTGTGGCACAGTGGTAGAGTGCTTGCCTAGCATGTCAGAGGCTTTGGGTTCGATTCTTAGCACTGATACAAATAAATGAATAAAATAAAAATCTATCAACATTTAAAACAAATTTTTTTAAAAAAACTACACATATGCAATGACATGGGGTTCTCTGGGCAGAAATGGAATAAAAGCTTAAAGGTGATGCATTTTTCTCATTTCCTGGGATTTCCTGGTATGTCTCAAGGAAACAAAAATACCCAACTGATGTACTCTAATCTTGGGATATGGGCTTCCAGACATACAGAAAAATTGAACTTAGTTTAAACAATTCCATGGGTTGTGTCCCTTCAACCAAATATACAACTAAATAAATGTTCTTAGAATTTTATCATAGTCTATTCCTGGACTCAATTCTGGTGATAAAAAATATATACACTTCATTTTTAGTGCACAATGCTTTATTTGTAAAGAAATGTGAATTGACATAGAATAGTCATTCCAGGCCCATGACTTTCCAGGAAGTCACTTCAAAATTGGAAAAGAATGATATATATTTCTGAATTCTATACATTGTGCTATAGATTCCTTCTGATTTTTAAAAAAAATCACAAATACTTATATAGGGTTTCTTATGTGTAAGCCACTGTGCTATGTATGCAATAAAGTAAAAAGTAGTAGAGCTACACAATTGTAATCTACAAAGAGCTTTTGGACCCCAAAAAGTTTAGCCAGGGATGGTTTTGTCCTAAGAAGGATAAACAAACTGCTACATGTTTCAAGTGAAGGAAGAAACATCCTCATTTAGGTAATCTGGAAATACACCCTGGAAGTTTTACATTAGAGATAGACCTATGCACTACCCCACTATATTATCTTACCTGTATCACATATTAGCTAGTATGCATTTGGAGCCTATTATGTGAACAACACATTTAAACAATCTAAATGTTATTGAATTTTCTTTTTTGCACATTTTGACATTTTTARGCAGATTGAAAATATTTCCTTCCTATGCTGCCATTTTTATTTTTTATCTATGACCACACATACTTAATTCCTGAACCAACACCTTTTTCTGAATTAGGAAGAGTCTTCCAATTGTCCAGAAGAAAACRAAAACAGCAAGAAAGTGCCTTAAAAGGTAGAAGACACCCAGAGGCAACTCACCACTTCCTTTTACCCAGAGAAGCACACTGAGCTAACACATCCTCTTACCATTTATCCCTTCCTTATCTGTTCTAATTCTCTTCTCATTTTTTTCTGATTATATTCTATTTTTATCTATGRGTTATGTGAGATGAATAGTTCCAAAAAATAAAAGTTGCCATTAAAAAAAAAAAAAACTGGAACGAAAGACATTTTAATGTCTGGTACATTTGATGGCTGAGATTTCCTTTTACTTTTCAAATACCAATCTGTTACCACTGTGAAATAAATGTCAGAGAAATTCCAGGCTCTACAGCAGTACTCCCTGTATAAAATGTCATATGCAGGTCCTCTTGAGAATAACCACATTATTTTAATATTCAGTGTATTTATAATGTGACAACATATAAGCCTATAAATTTTATCACATGTGTTCTGCTTTTCTTATTCAACTGTAATATAAAGAGTTGATAAAATTCTTTACATGTTTAAGAATAATATCTAAAAATATTTTAAAGAACAAAGTASACACAAAACCTTAATTAACATTCTAGAAAAATATAATAACAAAAATCTTTCGACACTCCTGAATACATCCACAATTTAACTCCATTGTTTTGTGATTATTTTAATAAAAGTATAACAGATATTAACAGGAGATTGGAACATTTCTTTTCAACATTTTTGTTATTGAATCTATGACCTGCTTGTTTCTTAGGCTGTATATCACAGGATTTAACACAGGAATGATGACAGTGTAAACTATAGAGAAGAACATGTCTTGATCATCTGCTTGTGAAGATGCAGGATGCACATACATAAAAAGAAGAGGGACATAGTATAAAGTCACAGAAAAGAGATGGGCTCCACAGGTGGAGAAGGCTTTTCTCATTCCCTTTTCAGACTTCTTTTTTAAAATTGTAAAGAGAACTAGTGTATAAGAAATAAGAATAGTCACAATGCTGAAAACTTGAACTGAACCAGAGAAAATAAAAAGCATTAGATGATTGATAGAAGGATCAGTACAAGAAATCTTTAACAATGGTATAACCTCACAGAAAAAGTGATGTACTATGTTGGAATTACAGAAGGTTAATCTGAGTAAAAAGCTTTCATGAAGTAGTGCATGAAGAAAGCCACCTACAAATGACAAAACTAGTAGCCAAATGCATAGTCTATTGGTCATAATCACAGGATACAGTAGAGGTTGACATATAGCTACGTAGC